GCCTATCAATAATATGTGTGGTCTTCTTTGTCTTGGGTCGAGTCGAGTCGAGTCCTTACATACATTCCTTTGGACGCAGACCACCGATACTTGCTTTGGGCTGTGGTGCCAGAACCAACCGTGCGGGTACCGCGGCAGCGCTGAAGTTGTCGGAAGCGAAGATTAGCTTCAAGCCAGCAGGAGCTGTAATGTGCTCGGGAGCTTGCGTCCTGGGAGGGACCGCGGAAAACGCCTGTACCGGACAGTAGAAGCAAGTGTAGTTCGTGCATATGACTTTATCTTTATGCGATCCTTCCAGGTCTACCAGCTAGCTAGCGAGTTGTGCCGGTACAGCCAGTCGAGTCGGTAGGAGTACTGTACGGGCTTTGGCGTTGACATTCTTGGTGGATCGAGTGCGGCCGTGGTTGCACTCAAGAGCCAGCGAGCTAGCTAACTATTGGTACGAGTAAGTAAGTTTATACGGTCGATCCAGCCAAGGCACGGTCCACAATGCACGGGGCTTTCGGATCCATGAGACCACTACTTATTACTCGAGGATACCTAATAATAATAAACCAGCCTAACTATGTAGCTAATAACAAACTATATTGTCACCTACTATGGTACGGTACTGCGCAATCGAATCGAATCTTTTCCAAATCAATAACTGCAGCCAGCCAAAACATCAGCACTCTCCCTTGTTGCGTTTTATTAGCTTAGTTACATGTAGTTTGAGCTGGTGGCCAAAGGGGCTCCTTTTTAGAATGAAGGCGCTGGAGCGTCCCTCAATCGTGGGTGATGGAGAAACCGACCCTAAATCCGACCCTAAATCTTTGAAACCCGTCCCTAATTCTATTGGAGAATAGGGTCGGGTTCGAAACCCGACCCAAAATCAAAATCCGACCCTAAATTAGGGACGGTTTTTCAGAAACCGTCCCTATTTTTAGGGTCGGTTTTGAAACCCGACCCTAAATTAGGGTCGGATTTCAATGTATTTACCACTCAGTCCCGTTTCTATTTAGGGACAGTTTTCAAACCCGACCCTAAATCGAAATCCGACCCTAAATTAGGGACGGTTTTTCAGAAACCGTCCCTATTTTTAGGGTAGTTTTGAAACCCGACCCTAAAGGGAATCCGTCCCTAGATCCGTCCCTAAATTAGGGTCGTTTCAGATTTAACTTCATACACGATTGAGGAACGCTCCTGTGAGATTTGAAGCTTTGTGTCACCGATTTACCTCACTAGCTACCAGGTACTAGCTTCGCCGGCTTTACTTCGGTACGGTACTCAAAGATTATTGCCCAGCCAATGCATTCCCTCAGCAACAGAAGACAATAGCCATCCAACAACTCAAAACACACAACAGCCAAAAGCTAAGAACCCAGGATCTCAGAGCGCTGATGCATTGATTGATTGAAGAATTGACAACTAAATAGACAAAGACTGTGTGGATTGATTGACTGGTTGATTAATAGACTGTTGCTGTAGCTAGCCAACTAGTGATTTTGTCTTGGTCCAGCAAGTGAGTTCAATGCGAGAAACAAGAATTGGACAAGACCATGGCAGACCCGGCCATTGTTGACCGGGATGAGAGAGGAGTAAAGATAAATTTCGAACTCCAGTGGACCACCTGATTCCTGTGTGTCCCAAACACCCCCCACATTGGTTTCTTTCTGCCAAACCCACAATGTTTCTCCTGGATAATAATTAGTTTGGATATTCAGCATGACAGCAGCACCTGTGTTTGGAAACCGTCCAGGCCAATCAGGCCCAGTCTGTGTGGTCAGAACAGGTGGAAACAGGGGGAGTTTCATTTAGGGAGCAATCACACCGAAGAATATAGCAAAGATGCTCTGGGACAGTTCCTGTCAAGCTATTGTTGTGCAGAGCCAGTGAATCCAACATTCCAACTTCAGCCGGGATCTGGCCAGATAGCTGATTGGCAGAAAGGTCATGCCCGTACAATGAGGACAGGAGCCCAAGCTCAGAGGGAATTTGACTGGTCAACCGATTCTCAGAAAGGTCAAGCTCTTTCAATGAGGTAAGGAGCCCAAGCTCAGAAGGAATTTGACTGGTCAGCTGATTCTCAGAGAGGTAAAGTACGGTCATTGAGGTCAGGAGCCCAAGCTCAGAAGGAACTGGACCGGTCAACCGATTCTC